TTGAAAAACATCGAGAGGAAGTACTAGGCGGACGTCGTTGTTGAGCTGTCACTTCTGGCGAATAAGTATTGTTCCCCCCCCTGCCGGGTAACCGTTGTATGTTTCAACTAAAATGTTTTTTCCCAACGTTCGTACATTTTTTTACAAGGGGAACGAGGTGTCACCATATTGGGCCCTTGGCCCCTGGTTTACAACAACAGCGGCTCCCGCCGGATGTTTTCTCACAGTGTATTCCAAAATCGCGCTCGCGCGCGTGACGCCGTCACCGTTTATACAGCAATCGCGCTCTGGGGTAGGCTCCCTCGCAATGTGTTCAAGCGCTGCGCCCTCGACACTCAGGAATCACTCTTTTGCGATGGCTTTTCTTACGATAAATTTGGGAATGGCGCTATCGCTCGAGACATCCTTGCGATTCATGCAGGGCGCACGCTTCAGCAACCCGCCTGCTCGGCCTGGCCGCCTGGTCCAGCTTTCCTGATCCGCCTGTTAGGGTCTACCCACCCGATTTGCCCGTCTCGTTTTGCCACGTGTTTTCTGCTCCCAGCCTCCCTCCTGCTACTCTCTCTCGTGCTCCGTTCTCCTCCCCAGTTGGCCGTTCCTTCCATCCGTCCCCTCCTCCCCTGCCTTACGGGCTGCACGAAATGCATGTTGCAGGTAAGAAGGATATACCCCAATGGGGGTACGATCGAAGGCGAAGAGGGCGGGCATCGAGGGTGTGGGGTATACGTGTTGAAAGGCACGCGGGCAGATAACAGCCAGTAGTCTTAAACTTCTTGTTTGTGCTGTTGGTGTTGGTGTTGTTGTTGATGTTGTTGCTGTAAAGCGGGGGTCAGGGGCGCAGATGGGTGACTAAAGACTTTCCCTTGTAAGAATACGGGGTGCGAGACCAGGGAGGAGCATGTTATTTGAAGCATGCAATGGTCACGGGGGGGACCAGCAGCAATTATTCCAAGATTGATCGATTTTATACGCGCGCGTGTCAATCAACATGTTGCACAATCTCTGGATGTCCGCCCTCTTGGTCTTCGATCGTACCCCTTTCAACGGGAAATCTGTCTTCCCTGCGACGTGTAATTGGCGCAGCCTTGGAAGGAAGAGGCCCAGTGCCAGCTGCATAGGGGCAAGGACGGGCAGCGAGAGGGCGACGAAGAGCTACATCTGGGCCACGAAGGTCAGCGAGGCGGCTACGAAAGGCGACTGCGGGGCCACGAACGGCATCGAGGGGCTCAGATAACGAGGCCACGAAAGGCATCAAGGAGGCCCCGAAGACAGCGGCGGGGCCTTCAAATCCGAAGGGCAGCGAAACGGGCGCAAAGCGGCGAAGGGCGACTGCGGACTTGACCGGGCGGGTCAGGCGGGTGGACCCCGACGGGCGGGTCGAGCGGGCGGGTCGTGAATGCGTGCGTCTTGCATCATTCGCCAGGAAGTCGGGCGAGAGTGGGATTCCAAAGTCTATTGTGAGAAAGTCCAAGGCGAGAGCGCAATTCCTGCATGGCGAGAGCGCGGCGCCTTAGTGAATTACAAGGAGGTCTCAGGCGAGAGGGCGATCCGTGAGTAAACTGCGAGGAAGTTCCAAGCGGGAGCGGGGGGGGGATCGACCAATTGTGAGGAAGTATCAAGCGGGAGCCGCTGTTGTTGTAGTCTGGGGGCCAGGGGCTGAAGTTGAGCCTTTCGGCTTTCCCTGAAAGATACCAGAGTGCGCGCCCCAGGAGGGGCACTTCACTTACCGAAAAAGCGTGTTCTACCGCTGCTGGCGGAAAACCGGGGCGGGCCATTAGGGGGTCCCAACCCGTCCCCCTCCGCCCCTCGTATCGGTTCCCCCCCCCCCGGGTCCATCATGAAAAGCGGAGGGGGGTCACTACCGGTTCGAACCCCCCCCCATCCCTCGAAAATTGGGGGGGAGTCGCTACCCCCCCCCTCGCCGCTGGCAAACGATTCCCGCTCCTCGGAAGAGTTGGACGGTGGGATACTGGGACTGGTGGGGACGGTGGTGGTGGAGACAGTGGGGACAGCGGGACAGTGGTGGGGGACAGTGGGACAGTGGTGGGGACGGTAGTGGTGGGGCCAGTGGTGAAGGCGGTGGTGAGGACGGTGGTGGGACAGTAGTACAGTGAGGAGAGTGGTGGGGACAGTGGGGACAGTGGGACAGCACAGTGGGACAGCGGCGGGGACAGTGGGGACAGTGGGAAAGTGGTGGGAACAGTGGGACTGTGGTGGGAACCATGGGGAAAGTGGGGAGAGCGGGACCGTGGTGGGACAATGGTGGGGAGAGTGGGGACAGTGAGACATTGGTGGGGGCATTGGTGGCGACAGCGGGGACAATGGTGGGAACAGTGGGGCAGTGGGACGGTGGTAGGGACACTGGGACAGTGGTGGGGACGATGGTGGTGGCGACAGTGGTATGGGGACAGTGGGAATGTGGTGGGGACAGTGGGACAGTGGTGGGAACAGTGGTGTGGGGACAGTGGTGAGGGCGGTGGCGAGGACGGTGGTGGGACAATGGCACAGAGGTGCAGTCGGGACAGTGGTGGGGACAGGGACAGTGGGGACAGTGGAGACAGTGGGGACAGTGGGACAGTGGAGACAGTGGGGACAGTGGGACAGTGGTGGGGACCGTGGGGAAAGTGGGAGAGTGGGACCGTGGTGGGAACAGTGGTGGGGACAGTGGGGACAGTGCGACAGTGGTGGGGGCACAGGTGGGGACAGTGGCGACGGTGGTGGGAAAAGTGGGGGCAGTGGTGGTGTGGACGGTGGTGCTCGGGACAGCCGTGGGGGATGTGGTGCGGACGGTGGTGGGGACCCGGGAGTCGTTTGCCGGCGGTGAGGGGGGGGGGGGTTCGAACCAGTGGTGACCCCCCTCCGGTTTTCTGGAGGGGGGGGCGGGCGGAGGGGGTTCGAACCAGTAGTGACCCTCCCGGTTTTCCGGAGGGAGGGGGTGGGTAGGGGGGGTTCGAACCGGTAGTGACCCCCCTCGGTTTTTTGGAGAAGGGGGGGGTCCTGGGGGGAAGGGGGGGGAATTCCAGCAGGGGGGGGGGAATTGCGAAGGGGGGGGGGGGGGCCCGGGTTCCGGAGGAAGCGGGGGGGGGAATTTTCCAAAGTAAAGCGGCGGTGGATCAGGCTCTTTCCAATTACCAGATACCATGTTTTCCGGAGGGGGGATCAACAATAGTTTTGTTCAGTAGTGAGAACTCACCAAAAAAACAACAAGCACCAAACAACACGAATCTGGCCATGGAATCCATCTTCAGCCATGCACCCAGGAACAATGAATGACCGTTCGGCCCCCTGCCCTCACTCTGATCATGGGGTTTCTAGCGGTGGCGTTGGAGCCTTGTCTGGCCATCCTGGGGTTTCTTGGGGCCAGCTGCGAGAAGCAGTGATCTGTTATCGGGTCGCATGGGCCGATCTTGCAGCAGGGCCGCTGAAGAAGGAACCCTTTTCTCCGGGGAGGGGCTTAGTGTTCTTTCATCGTTTTTCAGTTCGTCTTAGGTTGTCCATCGGCCCTTTACGGGAAATCGAATTTCATTTTATGGAAAGCAAGGGGCCTCGTTCCTCCTGTAGAGTTCCTTATGGCAGCGTCTCGACTACGGCCACTCTGGAGCCTCTGGGGCATCCTTTTGGGGCTGGTTTGAATGCATGCTGGGGTAATTTTGGTTGGGGCATTGCGAGGGGTGCTCAGGCGGTGTTTGGAGGGCAGCTGGGGGCGGCCACCTCTTGAGTCAGGGATCGTCCACAAATTCACGTACCCCAGGCTTGATAATTCCGACGAAAATGCGTGGAAGTTTCTGTCGCTCCGTAGATCTGCGGAACATTCCACGCTTTTGCTCCTCGATTCGACGGACCAACACCTTTGGGGTACATCGATTCTGTCGTCTATCCCCTGGTCGAACTTTGGGGCTGTCTCGAGCATTGCAATATCGCAATATCGCAGCGTTGGATTTCTAGTCTTTGGACCTCGATAGGTCAGAAGCCAGGGGAAGGCTGGCAAACCCGTGGCTGCTAAATCGGAGCTCCGGAAAGCATCCCGTTTACTAGTTAGTGCGCCGAGCTTTGTTATCTTACTTCGTTTTCTTCTTCCGGGAAGACCGTTTCAGCGGCCACGGACTTGCCAGCCCTTGCCCAGCTTCCGAATGGGGCCGCCCCTGGGCCGCCGTGGGGGCATGGCGGGTACGCAGGCAGGGTCTTGAGAGTGCGTCGCCGTGCTCGGGGAGCCTCGCGCCCTCGGTCTGCAGGCGTGCCGCAGAACAGGCGGGGGAAGGACGAGCGGGAGGATGATGCGGAGAAGAGGGACGATGAGAAGGAGGAAGACGAGGAGGAGGAGGAGGAGGAGGCCGCGCTGACGGCGTGCTTGGTTGACGGCGCGGTTGGGAATCTTGTTTTTGTGACACCGAGCTCCCGGACAATATAATGTAGGAAATCACGGAACACCGCTTCCTGCATTTCAGATATGCGAGTGTGTCGAACGAGAACGACGCAGCGAGTTGTAGCGAAACGCGAACCACGCGTTCCTACAATTGGTTTGGCCACAAACCACGCTTTCCTACAATTGGATTTCCTACTTCGCCGTTAGCTGACACACCGTTAGCCCGTTAGCGCGTCCACGGAAGAAGGAAGGGCGTGGTGAGCGAGCAGTTCCGGCTCGCAGGCGATTTTCTCCCCCAATTCCCAGGTTCCGCCCAAACAGTTTGGCCGCTCACAGAAAGGGGGCACACCGTGGGGTGCACCCCAAGGGGGTTATTCGGGCGCGCCCATATTGGGGATGGAAGCCCCCCCCCCATCGTACTCCGCAGGGTTGGGCCCCACAAGTTCTGGTCCAATCGAAAACCCCGCAAAGCCTGGGATACGGGGTCGACAGATCCACTGTTCCTAGCAGCAGGGAGGCAATGCGGAAGAAGGAGTTTCAACTGAGCTCCGAGAGAGGAGCTTTGGCATGCAGCACCGTACCACGCTGTCGCAGCTGTCGCACATGTGTTCGTGCGCGCGCGTCGATCGTCGGCGAGGTGTCCTTCAAGAATTCGCTTATCATCATGACTTCCAACGTGGGGGCCAAGGCGATGCCTCGGGAACGCTGTGGGAGGAGTCCGATGAGGAGGATGAGGGAAGCACACGGGGGAGTAGGAGGCGGAGGATGAGTTGGAGGAGGAGGAGGAGGAGCCAGAGAGGAGGTAGAGATGGATCTGAAGGAGAAGAGCTTGAACTCCTGTTTCCGCGTGTCGGCATGAGGAAAGTCACCGCGAGAGCAGTGTACCAGCGTTTAAGAGTCATCTTTGCTTGAGGTGTCATGTGGCGCTTTTGAGCGACTTCCTTTTTCGTGCTTACAGGAGGAGTGGGAATTGGAAGGGGGAGAGGGAGAGGACCTCCTCACGCCAGGTCGGACCAGCCCATGCGTGCGAAGGGAGAGTATGGCTTGGCGTGCTAGGGTCTCAGCCCCCTGGGTGAGTTCAAGGGGGCAGTCGGGAGGAAGGATGTGCCGGGGCGAAAATGGTAGGAGAGGAGAGGTGAGGACGTATAGGGGCGAGGAGGCTAGCAGCAAGGGGCGATGACGAGGGACGAGCGAGCAGCGATGAGAGAGGAGACGTAATGAGCGAGGGAGGGATGAGCGATGGGGCCGAATCGGAGGCAGAGTCTGAACTGGAGGCGGAGTTGGAGGAGGGACAGGAGAGGGAAGATTGGGAGGGGGAATGGGAGTAGTTGCGTGATGGACTGCGGAGGATGAGGGATGTAGGAGGGTGGGGGAAAGGGAGGAGGGAGAGGGCATGGTTCTCGTTGTCTTGCTCCGCCTCTTCAATCCCCGGGCCTCCTTCCTCGCATCTCCGTCTCATCCCTTCATTGCCCTCCTCCCTCCATCTCGCCTCCCCCGCCCGTTGCTCTCCCTCATCTAACCTCCCTGGTTCTATCATTCGGAGAGCGTTGGGATTGCAGCTGGGATTCGCTTCTGAAGCCCGCCAGGTTGTCGAGAAGTCTGTTACCGGCGGCGGCGGCATCGGGTGGAAGCCGCCCGCATGTTTCGCTTGCTTTCTGCGCCCCCAGTATGCATGGGTGCCGAGGGGGAGGGGGAGTAGGAGGGGAATGTCTCCTGCAATGCAGTTGCAACACATAACTAAGCCAACCGATCGGACCACCCTTCCCGTGATAAGGAGGTTCGGTGGGGATGTGTGCAGATTTAGGTTTGCGATGTGCGTCGGATCGGATTCGCGATCTATCTATTAGGATCTCGATATCTTTCGATCTCAGTACCAAACAGCTACCAAGGGGGCAACCAAATGACAATCATGGGGCCACCGCGGTACAACCACGGAACAGCCGCGGGACAACCACGAGACAACCAAGGGGCAACCACACGACAATTGCGGGACAGACCGCGGGGCAACCATTGGACAACCAAGGGACAACCACGGGACAATCGTGGGGCAACCGCACAACACCCATTTGACAACCATTTGACAACCACAGGACAACCAAGGGACAACCGCGGGGCAACCACTGACCAACCACAGAACAACCACGGGACAATCACAGAACAACCGCGGGACAACCACGGGACAACCAACCACGGGACAACCACAAAACAACAGCAGACCAGCGATAGCACAACCAGGGGCTAACCACACGACAACATCGCGACAACTACGGGAGCCCGCCGGGACCACCAAGGAACAACCACGGCACACACACACACACTTTTGTACCAGCAGAGAGGAGCCCTGTGGCAATAGAGAGAGGAACGACGACGAGGGACGACACGACAGCGGCGCGCGGGGAGGGGGGAGGGGAGCGGAAAGGGGAATGGAGGCCCGCGGGCGCCCGCGCCCGGGGCAGCCCCGCTCAGCCTGGGCCGGCGCGCTCGCGAGCGCAGCCAGCCGCGCCCGCGCGAGCAGCGCTCAGCGCGGGGCGTCGCGGCGGTCCGCCACTGGGCCGCCCGGGCCGGCGCGCCAGCAGGCGCCGCTGGCCGCGCCCGCGCGAGCAGCGTTCAGCGTCGGGCGCCGGGGTCGCCCTCCAGCAGGCCCAGCCTGGCCGCCTCCGCCGTGGCAGCCCAGGTCCAGGCGGCGCCGGCGTCGCAGCCGCCCTCGCCGTCGTCGGCGTCGGCCCAGCGCTCGCGCTGCCGCGGCGGAGTCGCGACCGACCGCGGTCTGGGCGGGCGGGGCCGAGCCCGCCCGGGGCCGGGCCCGCGGCGTGGGGTCCGGCGAGGGCGCCACGCCGGCCGCCCAGACTGGCCCAGCGTAGGCGCGCCCCCCGCCCAACCGCCGTCGGGCACGGCGTCTAGCGACAGGGTGGGCGTCCAGTCGCAGGCATACACGGCCTCGATGCCGTGTTGCCCCTCGTCCAAGGCCAGGGTCGGCACTGCTGGTGGCAGCTCAGGCGCCCTGCCGGGGGGGCCTGGCGGCCGGCCACGGCGTCGCCCCGGGCGCCGCGAGCCTCCGTCGCCCCGCGGGGACTGGCGCTGGCCTGCCCGCCACGGGCTGGTGCGGCGGGGGCTGCTGCGGGGGGCCCTCCCAGTGGAAGAGCCCTGCCTCCCGCGCGGCCTCCAGGGCCCGCGCCGCGACCCCCTCGGCCTCGCAGCGCCAGCCTCGCGCGGAGCGCCGCCTCCAGCGCCGCAGCCGGAAGCGGCCCACCCGGGCCCGTCGCGGCGGGGGGGGCTGCTGCTGGCGCTGGTGCTGCCAGCGCCGCGGCCCCGCCTCCGGTCCCCGCGGCGGCCTCGGCGGCGCCGCGACCTGCCGGCGCTGCTGCCGCTGCTGCCGTCGGAGCCGTCGCTGCTCCCTCCGGCGCAGCTGCCGTCTCCTCGCTGTCCGTGGAGCTGCAATTGGGCCATGGGGGCCGCTGGCCCGGCGCCGCCGCCTGGACTCCCTGCTGGGCCGGGGGGCGCCGGCGCGGCCCGCGTCCCGGAGGTCGCCAGGAGCGCCCCCGCCTTGGAGATCGGCCCGTGTTCCTGCAGCTTCTCGCGCCGGACCGACACGCTGCTGCTGCTACTGCCCTCCCTGCTGCGGGAGCGCCGCCCCTAGTCAAAAGTTAGGTCTGCACGGAGTGTTAAGTAGAAGCATGATACAGAGCATGTAGCAAGCAGCTCCTGTATGAAAACGTCTTGGGTCAAACGCACCAGAAATCAGACTTTGGTAGCGGAGCTGCCGGTTCACGGACCCGCAGTTCCTTCCGGAATCGAACCATCCGTTTTCGATACCACAGGTACTCTACATATTGTGGATTCTCTCTCTCTCTCTCTCTCTCTCTCTTCGGGTTCGAGGAGAAGCAGAAGCCCAGCGGCTTCGAGTTCACAAACACATCAGTGACACAGACAGCAGCGAGAGGCCAAGGCACTCTCGACGTCGGCGACGAGTCGGCGACCCATTACTACTACAAGGACTGCCACTTCAATATTGATTCACGATGGCAGGCGCAGCAGACCTGCGCGGACTACCCCTTGATGAGTATACGAGACAGTGGCCACCAGGATGGCGACCTTATGGTCGAAGCTTACTTTTCAAAACATACGGGGAAAAAATAAGTTGTGGATGCGCATGACAGATGTTCCATTGGATTGCCAAGGGGGCGTCGCTGTTGGCAGGTTGAAAGGATCGGCTTTATCGCATTGCTACGAATATTCGACTACGACGACAGGACGGAAGCATGCTTGTCGAAGATGAAGCCGCCAACGCCTTTGGCGAGCCCGAAGATGCGGCCCAAGGATTGCAAGCTACCCCTGCGGGCCTGCAGCAGATCATGGCCGACCTGAGGACGGCCTTCGGTGACGACTGTCAGGACTTGTAGGCGTTTCGTGTAGACAGATTTTTCGACTTGCACCGTGGCTCCCACAGTTTGTTTGATTCTTCAGGCTTACGCCACATCCGCCGACCCCTTATGAAGAATCGCGCAGTGGTCTGGTCGCCTCTTTGGGTGGTCTGAAGCCCCTGGGCCATTCTTGGGGCATTCTTGGGTTGTCTTGGGGCCCCTTAGGCCGTCCTGTGGCAGTATTGGGCTGTCTTGGGGCTCTCTTGGGCTGTCATCGGCCTCTCTTGGGCTGTCATGGGGCGCTCTGGGCGTTCTTTTCGGCCGTCTTGGCCGTCGCCATCTGTTGCCGAGGACTGTGGTATGCCCTTGGTGACCTCAGAACTGCTTTGCGGTGTCTTTTGGAACCGTCAGGGGCGGCCGTGGGGTGACCTTCGATCGTTTCAGGCCATGGTCAGAGACCCGCCGAAACGCCCTGCGGAAGCAAGTGACGATCACGGCGGGAAGCGACGCAAGTTGCGAGGAATCTGACCGCGAGTCGCGCGCGTTGCCTTCGGGGCTCTCTTGGGCCGTCCTCTGCCCCTCTTGAGACCCGTCTTGGCGCCCTCTTGGGCTGTCGCGGGGCCCTCGTGGAGGCTTCTTGGACCGTCTTGGTGCGGTCTTTGGGGGCTCTGGGGCCGCCCAGGAGCGGGGAACACCCCAAAAGGCGCACGTGCGAGAAATATATGCGTTTTACGAAGGGAACGGGCGTTTTTGTGCGTCTAGAGGCCCTCTCGTGGCGCATCGTGGATGCCTCTTGGGGCGTCTTGAGGGCCTCTGTAGCCGTCTGGAGGTCGTCGTCAGTGTTGTTGATCGCTCTTGGACCGTCGGGGACCATGTGGAGCTCTCTTCGAGGCCACTCGGGGCGCTCCTGGAGCGCTGTCGGGGCCGTTTTCGGAGCCCTTTTGGGCCGTCTTGGACGTCTGTTGGCCCGTCTTGGGGCCCTCTAGGGCTATATGGGGAACCCTCTTGGAGGCGTCTTGGGCCGTCTGGGAGCGGGTTTGGGGGGCTCTGGGACCGTCCAGGAGCGGGGGGCACCCCGAAAGGCGCACGTGTGAGAAAAAATATACGTTTTACAAAGGGAACGGGCGGTTTTTTGCGTCTAGAGGCCCTCTGTGGGCGCATTGTGGATGCCTCTTGGGCCGTCTTGGGGGCCTCTTCAGCCGTTTGGAGGCCGTCGTCGATGTTTGTGATCGCCCTTGGACGGTCGAGGACCATGTGGAGCTCTCTTCGAGGCCACTCGGACCGCTCCTGGAGCGCTCTCGGAGCCGTTTTCGGAGCCCTTCTGGGCCGTCTTGGACGTGTGTTTGCGCGTCTTGGGGCTTGCACCGTGGCTCCCACAGTTTGTTTGATTACTTGACAGCATTCAAGCTGAGATGCGAATCGGCTGAGCAGCATGCGGCACTGAAGAGCAATCACGTTGGATTGACGCATCGACTGCTGAGTAAAGCTGGACTGGCTCCACGATTCATTGACGATCGGATGTTGAAGGTAGATGGAGATCGCGGTCAGTTTACTGAGATATACAAGCGGCTCATGAAGTTCAGCAAAAACCAGAAAGATATTAGCGAAGGCGGGGGCCAGGCTGGCATCTCACTGCAAGAATGTCAAGGCGACGAGGAAGCCCCCGAGTATAGTAGGGTTGAAAATTTCACAGGTCCTCAAGGAGCGTGGTATATCTATGGTTAGACGTATGACCAGGCATATACTTTGGACCTCGCTGATGAAGATTTGGGCCACATGGCGCGCGTGGCAAGTGATCGCTGGATGCCGCCTGGGGCGATGCAGATGTTCAGACTTGGTATTATTACGGATGGGAGGACGACGATGACTATGATAGTAACACAGAATGCGAAGAACTACTGGGCGATCCTCTTGTCTCGTCTCCAGGCGACCTCGCTTTCGACGGGAAGTTCGGCAGAGGGGAGAAAGGGGAAGGCTGCGGCGACAGCGAAGGCTACGGCAATCGTCGACGACGCTACAGCAAAGGATCTGGCAAGCGCTCGCGCGCATTTGGACGAGGCAAGCAAGGCGGCAAATATCGACGCGGCGCAGCCCGCTTCGGCGGCAAAAAGGGCAGGGGCGGCAGAGGTTTTGGCGGCGCAAGTAAAGGCCCGAAAGGCAAGGGCGCGGATCGCGCTGGAGCTCCAGGCCCCATTCTCGACCTACATCAACGACAGGCTGGCGGACAATAAGCCTTTCCCTCCAGAGCCCGCGGCTCGCGTTC